AAAGTTCCTATGGGCTCTTGCCCTTGACTATGCCTCATGGCTGATTAACATCTCTCCGTCGTCCTCGAACAAAGATGTATCACCCTACCACGTCGTATTCAAACGACACCTCTCTTTGGGTCACATCAAAACCTTCGGTTGCACAGCGTTTGTGCACGTTCAACGTGTCGCACAGATCTCCAAGCTCGATCCCCGTGCCGTCAAGACTATGTTCGTGGGTCTCCCACACAACCGCAAGGGTTATACCCTTTTAAACCTGCATTCTCATGCACTGATCTACTCTCGTGACGTGACCTTCTGGGAGTCCGAATTTCCCGCGATCAACTCTGTTGAAGCCGCCGTTGCATATCGCAAACGACTTGCTTCAGATCCTACTTTCGTTCCATCCTTGGAACCCAACGCCCCATTGCCCTCTCTACACTCACTGATTGAGAACAGGCCTAGTGCCTTAATCTAAACGACAAGCCCCTGGCTCCGTCACTGCCTACCCCATCCTTACAACCACCGTCTTCTCGGCCCATAATGGTACTCACTGTGGTTCAACCAGACCGTCTTTTAGAGGTGTTCTCTGCTTTCCCGCTGACAAGCCCGGTCTATGACCCAACTGCCATCCCTCTACGCCGACTTTATGGTCATATTCCGTCCGCCTTTTCGGCCCACCCATCATCACTGGGCAATTTGACCCGCCCATCAACACCACCTACGTCCCTCGATTTTATTAGTCATTCATCAACTCGTCTCCTCATGGACACAACTCCTATGGAGTCCCTCGTTGCCTACAGCAACCAACCGCATTATGCACTCTCGGCTTTGGCGTGGTCTTCCTTCCAATCTACGAACTCTGTTTCACCTTCAGCCCCTATGGGACCATTGTTTGTCTACGCTCAGCTCGCCCACGGTGCCGACAACAGTGACCCCAAAGACTGGCGTGATGCCATGTCGCGCCCCGACCATGCCCAATGGCTTCTGGCCGCGAAGTCCGAATACGAGTCTTTACTCTCCAACCGCACATATGTGCTCGTCAAACGTCGTAACGACGAGACGGTTCTACCTTGTCGCTGGGTCTTTCGACTCAAAGCCGATGGCACCTACAAGGCCCGACTTGTCGTCAAAGGGTTCATGCAACAAAAAGACATCGACTACACGGACATTTTTGCTCCTGTTGTACGACTCGAAGTTCTTCGCTTCCTTTTTGCCTTAGTGGCCATCCATGATTTGGAATGCGAACAAATGGACGTCAAAACCGCCTTTCTAAATGGCAAAATCGACTGCGTTACACGCATGGAACAGCCACCTGGCTCCCTCATCGACCCTGCTTCTCGGCGCGACTATGTCTGCCTCCTCCAAAAGAGCGTTTATGGGCTCAAACAAGCTCCACACTAATGGTACTGGACTTTTGTCACCTTCATGGCTTCCTTGGGTTTTGCCCGTCTTCACAAAGACCGCTGTGTCTTTCTCAAAGCCAGGAAAGATGGTTTTACCATCGTCAGTCTCCACGTCGACGATCTCTTGATCATCACTCCGAACAAAGCTCGTGCCTTGGATCTCAAAGTGTCATTATCGAAGCGCTTTCACATGAAGGACTTGGGTCCAGTTCGAGATATTCTCGGCTGGGAAATCGCCCGCAATCGTCCCAATCGAACTCTGTTCATCCACCAATCCCGTTACTGTTCTACAGTACTTGATCGCTTCGACATGTCTACGTCGAAGGCCGTCGCCACACCTTTTGAGTGCACTACGCCCCTATCCAAGGCTCAGTGTGCTAGTACACCTGAGGACATTGCTTTTATGCAAACAAAGCCGTATCGGTCAATTGTTGGCAGTATTATGTACTTAGCCATGGGTTCTCGGCCTGACTTGGCTCATGCTCTTCAACAACTCTCACAGTTTCTGTACAACCCAGGTCTTGCCCATTGGCGTGCTGCCAAACGCGTTCTACGCTACCTCAGAGGCACCTCTCTTCATGGGCTTATGCTCGGTGGCCGGGACTATGGCACCAAGCCATTTCTGTTCGCTTATGTTGATGCCAACTACGCCATGTGCCCAGACACTTTGATGCCAACTACGCCATGTGCCCAGACACTCGTCGATGCGTCAGTGGATTTCTGATCCTGTTCTTTAACAGCCTCATCTCTTGGTTATCCAAGAAGCAAGGCATTGTGACTCTGTCAACCACCGAGGCCGAGTTTGTGGCTCTTGCCCTTTGCATTCAAAAATGTTTATACGTTTGCCAACTCGCTGCCGAGCTACATCACACTAGTGATCAACCGATTTCGGTTCACGAGGACAACCAATCCGCCATCAGCATCGCTCAAAATGCTGAGCATCATGGGCGCTCCAAGCACATTGATGTGCGTTTCATGTTTGTTCGGGATCTCGTCGAGAACATACTAGGGTAACCATGGAAAACAGTTCAAGAAATCTGAATACCGACCAACGCAGACTGAAAACTGTTTACGAGCTGTCCAACACATGGGAGGATGAGGTGGGGCTGTGCAGTTCCTTATGAGTGAGTACTAACCATTGAGCTGTAGATTCCAGTTATGATATAACTGGAATCTACAGCTCAATGGTTAGTTCGTCAGTGTTTCGAACTCGGGACCCTTGGGTTGAAACACTGACGCACTAACCATTAAGCTCAATGGTTAGTGCGTCCCAAGGGTCCCGAGTTTGATCACCTGGATTTTTGTTTCCGAGTACCCCTAGTAAATTTACTATTTTTCAATTAATGTACAAGCGGTTCTTTGGAACATGCCTGGATTTCCAGTTCACAAGTTTAGACTATGGCTACTAGTACATGCTTTCACGGGACACTGACAGTTGCGTGCGGTGTGGACCTTGGTTGGTAGTATTGCTGCATGCGTGGACGTATTGTGAGGAGTAGTGGCCTTCTCAGGTGCGTTAGTGATACTTGGTGGAGTACTATGTAGTAGGTGAATTCCCCGAGGTGGTGTTGGTAGTTACGTGATAGTTGTGTGGGAAGCGTCCCACCTAGTGGTGTAGCGTGGACATTGTGTTGTGTTGAATATGACGAGCATCGCAGACGTGTGGACGAAAGCCTGATGTGCGAGAGGTGTATGGGGTGTTGCGGGAAGAATAGCGGATTGTATGGTGGAGTTGGTTGGTGGTATGGGCAACACCAACCAACACCACCATGAGGTAATATCTCCGTCACAACGAAATTAGATTCACACACAACCGATTTGTCTACAGTAACCCCTCACGTCATTATGACTACCTCGTAGTGTTGATGGTTATAATTGCAGCGATGTGCAACCCCTGCATAGTTTACACCATGCACGGCTCTTCGGTACCCTCCACAGTAATTCTACTCCACAGCATCCCCCCACGCTACATACTGTAATTGTTAAAGTGAATTCTCTAGAAGTATGCGATTCAGTGTGTAGATTGCATATTTGAGTGCGCTAGCGGTA